AGACCCTGTCTCAAAAAGACCAAAGCAAAGCAAAGCAAAGCAAAACAAAACCATAACAAAAAAAAAAAATCTATCTAGGCTCTTCATCATCTTTTCCCCAATAGCAGGAGAGTATCTCTTCAGCACACCTCGGTCACAGAGCAGGCAGTAAGAAGCCCAGATACAATGGCCAAGAGCTTCACCACGGCTCCGTGCTGGATCCAACCACGAGAGGTGATCCCATAATTGGCTTTAGTCTGGACTTCTCACTTAGGGCCCTGGCCTTGCTCCCAGAGCACGAGAGAGGACGTCCACATCAAACGTGTGGCACTGAGATTTCCCATGAGTCACACCTTTTCTCCAAGACGGGACTTTGGTGAACCATTGTAATCTCTTTGGCTCTCCACTGTCACCAGGGTAAGAATCTCTGGTCTACTTATTTTACCTTCTAAAGCTCAAAATTTTTGTAAAAAATGGTGCCTTTACAGAGAAAAGTGTTGAAAACATTAAATTGTACTGTGATGACACACCTCACAAATAATTTTGAAATCCATGTGACATGCTAAAGTCTACTTGGATTGACCAGTCTCGATGTTGAGTCTCTATGGAGGGTAGTTCCTTTCTTTGACAATATTTTTGCAAGGAGGGTATCATGGGGTGTGTTTCCTTCAGTTTCACCTGTCTCTCTACGCCCCTCAGGGATTCTGTTACTGCATTCAAAGTTCCTTCAGGGAGAAAATACAGAAGATTTTAATATATATCAGGTAAAAGGAAAACATGGGAACAAGTTTCCTCCAATGGTTAGCTTTAGTCCCTTACTTCTGAAACTTTCCTTCTCTTCGGACCTCAGAATGAACATCTGTACTAGAAAGAGCAGTGGACAAAGAAGATGTGTTTGCTTCAGTGGCCCTGCCGTGTTTTCTTACAGCTACAGATGTTTTTCCGGGCATGTTTCTCTATTCTCTGTGAATACTCCACAACAGGGCTGATTTACCTAACTAAATAGGATGTGGCTTAGAACAGTCAGCAGCTTTCTGTTCCTTTGGAGTAAGTGGAAACATAAATAATCTAGTATCAATTTTTTTTTCCCACAAAAGAACAATGCCTTCAAATTTAGAGAAGAGTGGGATTTCAGCCTGAGTGGGTTGGTCAAATAATTCTATTTCTAAAGTCACTGGACAGTGTGATAATTGATTAGTCACTGGTGCCACTTTTATTTCTCCAGATCAACAAAGTTCATATCCCACCCAGGCATTGTGTCTCTTACCTTTTTTTTCGGTCTCCTGGCATTTTAATCAGTGAAAAGTCACAGTTGTTTTGAGGAAAGTGCTCCCAAGAGCTTTAATTAAAGCTGGAAGGATAAATCTGTTTACAGTGTGGTGAACACCATCATTAATAAAACATTGGAATAATTAACGAATTAAATTTGGCTTTGTGTGAGAGTGGCTACATTTGGGATCTATGAGGACACATCTTCCCTAACAGATTTAGTATTCATGCACTTTGTAAGAGAAGAAAAGAAAATTGGAGTTTGAATTTCACTTAGATTCATAGATCAGAGCCTGCTAAAAACTTGAAGGGACTTAAAGCTACATTATCTTATTTGATAGGAAAGGAAGCTCAATTTCAATGAGTTTAATGTGTGAGCTCTAATGACGCCCTTGTAAGAATTTTTTATTGCACCGCACATATAGAGTCTTTTCTCTGATTCATAAACTAGAAATAAAGGAAGAACAGATTAAATTATAATAAGATAAGCAGTTTGAGAACACAGACTATAGAATGGAATACTCGGGGGAAAAAAAGGAGCAAATTTTACAGTGTGATTAACTCTGTTCACTGACAATTGAGAGTTTTTAGATGCTTGGACTATTAAGTGGCCTTCTGAGCAGGATGTGGCTGTGTGCAACCTTCAGATTGGGACTTCCCTTCTGTTTCTTCTGACCAAAGGGCTCCTTGACTTGTTTTTAAGCTTCCTGGCAGACAGCGGATCTCACAGGAAGCGTTGGTGTGGACGTTTGCATCCACCACTAATGATGCATTGTTTTTTTATGTCACTCAGTAATTTCCTAGGAAAACAATGCAAACCAAGGACTGTTCCTGTCTTGAAGGAAAGTCAGCTTCCAAAGTTGCCTTATTAATGTAGCATATGGAAGTATTTGTCCTTGCTGTTGCTACAGCAACATGTTTTGTGGGGGTAGGGTTCATGCAAAATGGGGAAAAGCTGAAAAAGAAAACAAATATCATCTGCAAACCTACGTGCATAAAAATAGCCATGGGCATGCACTGAGGTTCCTATGATTACAGGTAGGTGCCTTTTGTCCTCAGCCTCAGTTACGCTGCGCTTGTAGGTTAATTTCTAAAACATTTATCCAGTGAAAACAACCAGACAAGCACTTCCAAAGAACTTCAGCAAAGCTGGACACACATGACGTCTTTCATAACTAGGTGGTCAGTGGATGAAAATGGTCCCCACCATTCACAGAGACACTGTATGTAAATGAGCCCCCCACCCCAGCTCCGAGGGTGGAAAAGGTATTTGACCTCCAGGTGAGCAGAAATTAAGCTTTGGTGACAGTCAACTTTCAGAGGCTGAGGAGCAAGATCCCTGAATCCCAGATTGACCAACAGTCAGCACCCACCCCATCCCAGTGTGAACCTCCTCAGCTCAAGGAATGGTGGGGAGGGAAGGGCTTGGGGTTTATAAGATAGATTTGAATTTACAAATTTGATAATGAATCATAAAGACACTGTACACTGGAAGGTAACAGAGCAGATCCTGGATTACAACAGACCTTGCTTCAAAGTCTGGTTATTGAGACCTTGATTGAGCATTTTGAAATTTCTTTCAAACCCAGTATTTCATTTTTAAAATGGAGATAATTGTACCTCCTTCCCAGGATTGTGGCAAGGCTTAAATAAAAATAGGAAGCCGGGTGTAGTGGTGCACACCTGAAATCATACACCTGAAATCCCAGCACTTGGGAGGCTGAGGCATGAGAATCACTGTGAGCTTGAAGCCAGCCAGGGGTATGTAGTGTGTTTGGGGGCCAGCCTAAATTACCTAGGTAGATCCTGTCTCAAAAAAAAAATCATATATATATATAGTATAGGTTGCACTATCTGATATACACTCCACAAATGGTTTATGAATTGCATAATCATCATTCATGATGCTCATGATGATATCTGGCCCTCTTCCAGATGTGGTAATACTGGAAGTTGAGTGTGCCTGTGGGGGAAGCTACTATATGTGCTCTTCCTCATTCTGCCTTGGTGACAGCATCACTTTCTCAGCCTGGGTGCAGTGTGAGACCATGTAGAGCAGATCTCCAGTTGGTCCAGTGATGGAATAGCATGAAAAATAATCAATACTCTTCCTTGGGTGGGGCGTGGTGTGGACTATCTTGATTCTCCTTATCATGTCATTCCTTGACAGAAAGGGTTGGATGATGTGAGATTTTTTTCCTGCAGAAATTTCAAATTGCACCTAACCCTAAGAATGATATAAAATCCTGTCCCGCTGACAAATGCTTTGTGAAAGCCCATTTAGTCTCCAAGTTCTCCAGACACAGAATTGCTTTGCCTAGAAGAATTGCTATCATTGCAATTTCAGAACTCTTGCAAGACCACTGGCCCTACATCATTGAGTGCTCTCTGCATTACCAAGAATAGGACTACATTACCATGCAAACATGCTTAGCACTGCAGAATGTAAGCTTTTCTCGAGAGGCACATCTGTCAATCCTACTGAACTGCTTGTTGGTTTGGGGATGAGGAAAAACAAGTTACCAAGAGCTATTTTGACACGGGCAAACTCATTTCATTTCTGGCTTAATCTAGAGCTAGATCTAGCAATCCCAAGGTGAAAGTCTCATCTTTTCTCACCCTCTCCACATTTCTCACTGTTATCATTTAGAGGTTAGCATGAGTTCAGTCTCCTGTAATAGGCTATTTCACTTTAAGTGTATGTTAAACTAATATTGACCTTTCCAAAGTAAAACAAAATCTGGTATTTGTGCTCAAATGACTGAGACAGCAATAGATGTGGAAAGGAGAGAATAAATCATTGTGGGTTTTTTCTTGCTTAGAAACTCTCCCCAAGAATGAGTCATTTTTATATTTCTGGCAATAGATGGAAGGCAGTTTGTACCTACTCTCCTGAAAAGGAAACTTGGATCTTTTAGCAAATAACCATTTGGCTAATTTATCTGCAGTCTCACCCGACTATTCAGATATATTTATTTCATTTAGCAATAGGTGCAAAGCTCAGGAAGGTGTGCATCCAAGCCTTAGGTACAAACATCTGAACATCAAAAGTGGGCAGGAATGAGCTTTGGGAATGGTGCTGGGGTGAGGAGGGCATGAGACCATTAGAAAGTTGTGGGTGACAGTGCAGAGGCTGGAGAAAATAAGCAGGAATAATCTGTTGTACAGCTACGGGAGGAAGGGGATGTCAGAGTCAAGTAAGAAAAACAGAAGCACCATCCCTAATGAGGACACAAATGTGTAAGGACACAGCTGACAGAGGCCAGAACTCTCCACTAAACCCTTTCCTGGGTATGCATTGTGTGGACCTGTATGGGAAACACATCCCAAGCCTTTCTTTCCCATTTTCTGACCCAAACACACTTTACTTGGAAATGATGATATCATGCATGTCTGCACACAGGATTCATGGATTTCATCAAGGAAGCTGGAGTATATCAAAGTAGGAAGCATATGTTTAGGAATGTATAGTTGTTGGGAAGATCTGATCTTTTAGTCATTATCAAAGTGAGCCATCTGTCTTCCAGTTCTTTGAAGAGTGGCGCACAAGGGCCTGAGAAGACAGGGGATGTTCAGGCGGGGCTGCCTGAGCTGCTTTCCTTGGCTGCACAGTGAGGGACTGTGCTTTAAGGATTATATTCAGCACTCTTCTTAGCTAAAGGCAGTTTTCACAGTTCTGTTCTATACATCAGCCTTTCCCGATGACTCAAATCTCTTTTACCTCTAAAGAAGCCAGGTCTTGTGCTACTTACCTGTATCCACTCTCGGTAGGAATCTTCCCCAGGGGTCCAGCCATTCTCAGGGTAGTTCAGGCGAGAGCGCTCTGCAGACCAGCTGTTGCTGTACTGGGAAGAGACCTTGATCTTGTCGGAATGAATCTCTCCTGATTCCATGCCCAGAGGTTCCATACACTTGAAATCTGGCGGGAAAAATGAGGCTTGGATTATTGAAACACGGGAACCCAAGAGATGCCTTTCTTCCAAGCCTGGCAAACTGAGGAGTTCATCCATTCAAAGTTTTATGAAAGAAGTCAGCAAGGGACTTGTGAAATGTGGCACTGATACTTGTGTTTTCCTGGTATTATTTGAAAATCAGGCTGTGATTGTCATATAGTGACTAATAATTTTCCCCAGTAGGCCTAGGTTGAGAAAAATACTATTAGAAATTAGGAAGTGATGGAAATTCTGGTTTATCTCCAAGGATGAGTGACTCCTTGTGTGATGAGTATACAAAAAAAATTGTAGTTAAATAAAGTTTCAGTATTGAGTTATTTCTCTAATATTTAATAACACTGAAAGAGAGTCTGTGTCTACTCACAATTCATGTCTACTTTACACCCAGACTGGTCACAGTTATTAACATCTTTAATCTAGTTTATTAAAACACAGAATATTCATCAGGGCTAAGTTGCAGTGTCACATGGCCCAAAGAGCACCACAGTTTTATAGCACAGGACACAATGCTCACAATGATGACCATGAATCACCAAAACCTGCACAGTACTCCATGGGCCCAGTACAGTGGGGCTGGTGATAGTGAGAGGTGAATAATAATCAATTTTAGGAAAATGTTAATCCAAAGTGAAGCAAAAGCTACAGGAGTTAAAGGGAAGAGCCTTAACTATCCAGAAAATCTCAGTGCTACAGTTGGGATCTTACGTGCCCCACTAAGGTTCGCCTATTAAAGGTCTGCTCCCTAGGGTGGCATTGTTGGGATACTAGGACCCTTCGGGGTGGGGCTTAGTGAGAGGTCTTTAGGTTCCTGGGAACGTGTCTTGGGAAGGAGACCCCGGGTCACCAGTTTCATTTCCTCTCTTGCACTTTCTGGCCATGGGGTGAGCCATGACCTGGAGGGTCAAAGTAACTGTACCAAGTGATCAGTCTGATGCTTCCCAAACTGTCAGCCAAAACAAACTTTCTATCTTTTAAGTTGATTGTCTCGGGTATTTATTATAGCAATAGAAAGCAAACACACTTAGCTAGTCAAAATTTCATATTTTTCTGAATTTCGTTTTAACAGATGAAGTTTTGTGACAAAAGGTTTTGTTTCATTGGTTTCATACTTTAAGCTCAGGCTTGTTTTTTGTAATAGAAACATCATTGACAGGCACCAAAATTACAAAAATTAATTAGTCAAAGTAGCATTTTACTGTTAGCCATCTTACTTCCTGGTGAGCTCTGATAGAGGAGGGTGCTAGCATCTCTAGGATGGATCCCCAAGTACCCTGTGTCCTGCCATAAGTCCCCACACAACCTGGCAGCTAGAACTGATATGAAACACACAAATGCATGCGTATTCTTTATCATTTTAGGCTTTTTCTTCAGCTCTTAAAAGAGCTGGAAGCCACTCGACTTTGAGAAAGGGGTTGAGTTGGTTGAGTATTTTAATAGGTTATAAAAATCCATTACTCTTTGTGTCTGATGGAAAGGTATTAACACAAAATGAAACATGCTTCTTTTCATGAATATCCACTTTCACTCAGGTAAGAAAGGAAAACAGAATGGCTTCCCCCAGGCTTCTCCACAACCAAGGCACGCACACTGTCCATTTGTGCGACGGCTCTGCCCGTAGGCTGCTTTTATGATTCTCTGCCTGTTATGCATTGAGGGTGTCAGGGAGGGCTCAGGGCCCTATTTCATTGTTTTGAGGCAGTGTGCTGCTATTTCCACTTCCTTCAGTGATTTCAGAGTCTCAGCCACAGTTTTAGGAAGAAAGCACACCAAATCGTTTTTTCTGTTGCTATTCATTACAAAAAGAAATTTAAAAGCAAAAAACACTCCACATCCCACTTCACAAAAACATTTCTTTAGTGTCGCATGTGGCTGCAGGTGTGTGAAATGGAGTAACAGGAGTATTTATCACAGGACTTCGCGAGATGAGCAACACTGACCTTCTGAGACACTGCTATGCAAGATGCTGTAGTTGGCTGAGAAGCCTTCTTTGGCTATTGCACTGTCGGTGTAGAAAACCATGGAGAGAATGCCTGATGAAGAACGGATTTGACCTGGTATTTTCTGTCCACAGAAACGTCCGATGTACGGGCCAACTGGAAAGGCAAATGCACAGGGAATGTCAAAATGTCTTTTCTTCTAGAGCAGATGCAAAAATAACCATTTACAAGCGTGGGTCCCAGCAGAACCCAGAAGTCTATTCTAACCCAAAGCAAGGCTTCCTTAGTTAATTGGTTTGCAATGAACATATTGGATGGAGTTGTGGAGAGGATTTTAAAGTGTACTCAGAAGGGCAGTAACAGGCATAGCCGTGATCCCCAGCGAGCAGGGTTGTTTTCAGAACAGAATCGAAATGCTTGCTTCAATTGTGAAGAATGAGGTTTGGGTCGTCAAGTGGCATCTTAGCTCTCATCTCCTGAGCCACACTTCTCATACAGCCCAGTGCTGAAAGACTGCAGCCTGGCAGGTCCCCGAGGTCCCTAAGTTGCCTCTCCTCACTTCTCCTGCTCCTATAAGGGATTAGGGGGAGCCCTGAGTCCTGGGAAGAGCACCAGGAAAGAAGTCTGTTCCAGAGCTGTGTAACCCCAACTTCCTTCCTTGTTTAGTCTTTCAGTCCCTGAATTCTGAATAAGATGAACATCAGAGCTTGCGACAAAGGGCAAGGTCTCATGTTCTACTCAGGACTGTTTCTGACACCTAGTGAATAGCATAGGTCTAACAATAGAAAATGTACAGACTGCTGATGCCAATGACTTCTACATAATGGTACATTACAAACAAAATGAACAGCAAATGCATTTTCCTGACCTCTGTCTCAGGTTTTCTCTTCCAATACATTGCATTATATCCTGTGACCAAGAAAATGGCCCAAGGCAGATGCTTGACTGTGCACGACAGGAGAAAAGGATACTCAAGGCAGCGAGAGATCAAGAACACTGACTAGTTTGTAGTGAAGTCAAATTGTTTTTTGTCTTAAACTGGCCACACCTTTGTTGAAGTCCTTTAGACAAATGTTGGCAATGAGCCATTGTAAGCCGCCTTTCGAATATCTCTCCAGATCAGAGAGAGATAGAGAGAGAGGGAGGGAGAGAGAGAGAGAGAGAGAGAGAGACAGAGAGAGAGAGACAGAGAGAGACAGAGACAGAGACAGAGAAAGATAGAGTGGGAGGTTCCTTTTTCTCTCATTTTTGGTTTCTTTCTTTCTTTTTTTTTTCATTGCACATATGGTAAAAATGTGCCAGATGGTTTGGAGTTAGAAGGACAGTCTGGTGGTGTGGACTGTTTTCCTCTACCCCAGATCCACGGGTTCATGCCTTTCAAATAAGAGTTATCACTTCATTGAAGGCAGACAGTGGGCGGACCTTTCCCTGGGGGGACAGTCCTTCAGGGGGGATGAGATGCTCCAAGTCCTGTGTGTGGCACTTGAAAGCACAAGGCTGCTGATGAGGACAAGAAGATATTTCTAGAGCGACTGCAGATAGGAAGCCCACACACAAGCTGAGTGCTCTCTAGGCAGATAATCGGAGCACCTTACTTCTTAGAGTGTGTAGATCTTTGGCAAAATGAGGTACTTCAAATACCTGATAAAGTCTATGCATTCAAAGTGATTAATCTGAGTGAAATTCAAACCTTGCTCTCTTGAAACCAAAGGCTGTGTGTGAAGACCAGTTTATCATGAAGAAAACAAGGGGGCTGCCAAAGTGAGGGAAATCAATGTGGATTATCTAGGAAAATCATATTATCACATTAGGACCAGACAATGTCGTTAAATTAGACTTTCCAGTCATCAAAAACCAACCACCCCCAGAAGATGAAGCTCTTCACTGATTCTTGCTTCTCTTTAGCTTAAGCTGACCTCAGACTCTTCCAGAAGGGCTAGTTCTTTTCCAGATTCCCTTCATTCTCGATGCGGCCCTATCACTAATTCAGCATTTTTTTTCTTTCCCACAGAACTCTATTTGCGCATACCCTATGCATGAAAAGATCTTGTTAGAGCCAAAAACTTAGGTCTTTCCTTTCCTAAAAGGAAAAGGCAAGAGTATCCCATTTCTGGTCTGCAGTTACAATGCAGAAGCTGGAAGTCCATTCATAGACCCGCATGTCCCCCTCATTTAAATTCCATTTGTGTGCTTTCAGAATCTCCCCTTTAGATTGTGGGCAAACTTTTACAGCCTGAAGCCTGGGGCTTGCTCTCTGGTCACTGCAGCCGCTGACCTTCCCAAGAATGTACACTGGCTAGGAGAGCTGCCCCTGCTGGCGGCTGGTCCTCCCCCTCCCTGGCCACCCAATTCCCCTGGGGAGGGTGGACGGGGGGAGTCTCTTTGAAAAAGGAAACAGAAGAGAACTTGTCTAATGCAGACTCATAATTTAGAGAGTCTCCATGACTCACGGGTTTATAATGTTTAAGACATGCTGGGTAAATCTGCCTTCTGTCCTTTAGAACATGCCCCCGGTCAGCGGCTTGCAGCTCTCTTTAGGAGCCCTTAAGATACGAGAATGAAAGGTTTCGGAGACATAATACAAAGAGGCATTGAATTTTCCTGAACAACAGCGAGACCTCAGCCTAGCAAGCTAATGCAATATTGATCTGAACCAGAGTGGGTGAAGCACTCTTGTCTGTCTCCTGTGTGTGCTCATTTGTGTATTTACATGAATACAGCTATTGGATTTCCTCTTTTTGTTATTACAGACCCAAAGGCCAAAGAGATGAATGAACACCATCACAAAACCCACAAATATAATTCAAAAATTGAACTACTGAGGAATTTAAGTAAGCAAGATATGCCAGGCTATCTTTTGGGGCAGAACAGGTCTGTAATGATTGGATCTAGTCAGGTGTAAAGTAACATAGCATCTGTGCTGTTTAAAAAGATATACCTGCCACAGGGAACGGCCACAATACAGTTTGGTGTATTTTTCCATTAATCAGTCCTGTAATTACAACTATACCTCACAATCTAGACAATCTGGTTTTCTACTACCTTTTGATGTGAAAAAAAGCGCAACAATACAGTAATCAAAGATTGACATAGAGAATGAAGTATTGTGAATATTTAAAAAAGATAATCATTTGAAAGGTAAGAGAGCATCAATGCTTTCTTAAATTAACAAATCTTTTGGTGCAAAAATCTCGAATAATACAAATAAACTTTGGTACTTAGCTCCCTGCTCCCAAATGGCACATTTGTGTCTGTCTTTTTGGTTTTAGAAAGTTGATTCCAATGTAAAGATAAATTTTTAAAACTCCACCCATTTGAGATTTTATAAGACTTGTTCCCCAGGTGACCGATAATGTTGGGGATGTAGGTACCAACAGCAGATCCAGTCTCTTCTCCTGGGTGCATTTGTGCCCGATGATGAGAACCATTCGTTTACACCCAGCTCCATCCTCCAGCACGGACACTTGTGGTGTCTACCATGTCTCAAACTTGGTGCACTTTTGCTCTGAACTATGTGCAAAGTTTCAGGTCCAACAGGGTTACTACTTTCAAATCCACAGAACTTCAAAGAGAGTGAAAGGTAAAGATGTGTGATTCACAATCTGCATACGCTGAATTTTGAGTTTTGGAATAAACTGCTTCTCTACAAAGTTAATATGAATCAGTGGATGGCTTTCAATTACTTAGTCATTTAATTCAATGTTTATGATAAAATGCAACACAAAATTACTTAATGGTTAAAAAGCCTTCCGTGCCTTCTGCTTGTTGTTTTTGGAAAGGATATCAAAGACTAAAAGCAATTTTGTTGGCAGAGGAACTGGATGTGTTGGATTATTATGACAAAAATGTTTCTAGTGCCACTGACAGAAAACTTGGGAAGACTCAGATACTCATTTCAACTAAAAAAACAGAACTGTTTTGCTGGTGTAGGCTGCAGAAGCTAGGTACATATTAACAAATATACAAACACTTCTTCAGAGTTCAAACTCAGTTTTCTCTGGGAATAAGTCAGACATATCATAGTTCAAAACATGGACAGATTGCAAGGCTGAAAACTCTTATTGTTAATTGTTCTTTGCTTCAACTCAGTGATTTTCTCGAGCCAGAAAATTACTACTTGGAAAGAGCCTTGACACTAATAACAATGTGCTTTTTTCTGAAAGTGTTCTAAATAAGTTTGTTGATTGGACCTCTTCTTCAGATGTCAGTTTAAATGAAAGTTTTAGAGAGGAAAGCTGCAAATCTGGATTGCAAACAAATAAAACCATTATTAAATGATCTAACTATTGTTACAACATTACTATAACATTGTTTTCTTAATTATTGGATTGAATATTTGTAAATCCATCAACACTGTGTTTGGGAAAATCTCATTACTTGATGAAGGAGTTTTGATAAGATCATCATAGCCCTATTTATATGGTAAAAGAGCAAAGGAGATAGGAAACTAATGTTAATTCACCATCAAGTCCAAAAACAATAATTCTGTCACCAGTTTCCTACTAATGCTTTTTATTGGTAAAATGACTGATTTTGATAATGTTTCAAAGACTACAACATTATTCTTCATATCTTGTTCTTTGTTTATGGTTTATCAACTATTCTCTCCTCAAATTTGAGAATAGTGTGTGATGCGACTTAGGAGATGGCTACACATCTCTAACTGCACAACCACCAAGAACTTCCAAGTTGGTCTTTCTGATCTGTGTAGTGCACGTCCTCTAGAGAAATCTTAATATGAAACCAGACTAAACATGGGACAAGAAATGCAGCCGCAGGAAATTATTTGAGATCACCTCCTTCTGTTCAGAAGGTGGGTGTGCTCTTTTGCCATTCATGTTCTTATTCACCCGGGCTGGATGGAAAGCTTTCATTGTGGTGTCTACATGGCTCCTTCCTCCCCTCCCTCAAACTCCCACGTCACTGCCTTTGTCTGCCAACCTTACCACCCTATAAAATTTCGGCCCCTCACTCCACCTCCCCAAGTTCTCATTCCTTTTTCTGCTATACTTTCTTCCCTCCATCTGTCCCTCTTTTTGCTCTCCTTCCCTCATTTCTGTCTTTTCTTTCTTTCTGATTTGTTAAGACACTTGTCACCTTCTAGCATCCCATGCACGTAATTAGTTTATCTGTGGTGTGCGCTGTTTATGGGCTTCCCTCTCTACCTAACATAAACTCCACAAGGGCCAACATCTTTGATTGTTTTGCTTACCCTGTGGCTAGAAAAGGGCCTGGAATGTGACAGGTATTTTACAAATATTTCAGTTGTTTTAATTAATTAGAATAATAGGAACAAAGAATATAAATTATATTCAGTGTTGAGTTCAGTCCAGTTGCCAAAGATTAAAATTCCACAGAGAGCAAACAGGGAATTTGTCTAAATTAAGAATACTAAAACAATCACATTCTTTCCCTAAATTTGAAAAATAATTAAAAGTTACTCAGCTTCTCTAATCCTTAGTCTATACTGTTGTAAAATGAGTGGTTTGACTTAAGTGACCTCTTAAGGTCCTAACTTTTGACAGTCTGTGAATTAATGACCAGGAGGGAGGTCAATGAATGAAAAAAAATTTTGGTTAGGAAAAGTATGTGTTGTTCCAAAATCTATCTCAAAAATAGCTTTTAAAAACCTTGTATAACAACTTTTCATGGCCAGCATCTTATCTATAAAATGAAGGAATTGCATTAGATAATTACAGATGTCTTCCTGACCTCAAATATTTCCCCCTTTTTTTACATAGAGTTACTGTTTCGCTTTGTTCTCTCTTGCCCTTTTGAGCTACCTTTAAAAAAAAATTGTGTATATTGTGACATTTGTAAGTGGATCCTGAAGCCCTTCCCCAGGTCCCTCCTCATAGATGCTTCTTGCTGTTCTTAGTTCTTACCGCCAGGGAATCCATCCCACAATTCCAGCCGGTCATAGCGACAAGCCATCCCTGATGGATTATTTGAGTCAAGCTCCAGGTCAAAACTTTCAAATTCCAGGATAATCTCGGACATCTTTGGTGCAAAGATAATATAAGTACATTCAAGGCTGTTGGGGTATTTTTCAGGGAATCCAGGGGACTTTATCACTCCAGTGGGTGATGTGTAGTTCTGGGAACATTCAGGACCTATGAGTAAAAGAAAAAAGGAGAGAATGAAAATTCCACTGAAACAACTTTACTGACACATAACCAAGGCAGAGACAGAGTACTTTTCTAATAAAAGTTCACCACTATAATCACTGTCCTAATCAGGCATTACTCAGCCTTTTCATGTTAGTGATAGTATGGCAAGTCACATTCAGATTTATTGTGTTCACCTGAGCTTTGCATTTGTGTGGAGCAATTTAAAGACTTCTGCTGTTGCAGAAGAAAAAAAATGACAAATATAAAATCATGTGGGAACAATGAATAAGCTGCAGAAATCTTGACAGAGCCCTAGAGAAATAATTATAGCCCCTTCAAACCTACATCTTTAAATCTTGAATCTGACAGCACTTTATTGGTGAAATAGAACATTTACAAAGGCGAGGGAGAGAATTCAGGGGAGGGAGTTTGGGTTTCAGATTCCTACACCAGTGACTAAGTAACCGTGCCAGATGTGACCTATGCCTCCTTGACAAACTAGATGTGAAAGGTAATTCGTACTGTACCCAGGGCGAGTGAGTCATTCTGAATGGTGTTGACACAGGTGTGCCAGTACACGTGGCTCTCGGTGAGGGCACGATAAAACGTGATTACAGGTCATGATGGTGGGAGTCATCTGATATCAAAGTTGGCACGCTAACCTTTCCCAAAGTAATAGCCACAGCAATTTATAGTTGCTTGTTAGTGGACGTGCAGGCGCATACACACACACACACATTGGTAAGGTCCACTTTTAATGACTATTCGATACTATCGAGACTTCCCAAATTGTAGTGCTTTGTAATTGGCAATGACCAGGAACACTCATGCACATGTGGTGGGTTAACCTCACAGAAGCACGAATGAGCACAATTTCAGTTCACAGAATCTAGTGTTGAGTAAGTGGTGTCTACTGCACGATTGAAAACCTGTCCATCTACACTGACAGGAGGTATCAGCACTGCCCTCCTTACCACCAGCAGCGCTGTGATTTTCAGACAGCTACACTTAAACTCTCTGTGAATTGGAGACGAACTGATCTTCTAATCCCACCATCAAATCTGGGGATGTCTGACTCAGCAATTTCTTTCCTGCATCACTGTCTCACTGTCACCTGCAGAGAGACACGATGGACTCCTGCAGTGTCACATGAGGATTCAATTCTGAGTAAGGTGGTGTGTTGAAATTGAACCTTCTTAACTGAACCGTCTAGCAGAATGTTGGCAGTCACAGGTAACTTATTAGGTGTAACACAGGTCAAATGTAACCAGTAGATCTCTGTGTTTGGTGGCTTGGGTCAGGAAGCTGAATCTCCATCTCAGTGTACCTGGGAAACTGCTGAGAAAACAAACCAATTGTTTCCCCTGCACACGTGTTGGGTGTGTGTGGCACGGGAGATTCAAGAAACAGGACTTGTTAGGTGGACACGGTAACTTGCCCACAGAAGTTTACTATACTGTTGAACCTTGGCTGTGGTTCACACTCCACCATATTAATGTGTTGCATATTGTCAGCTCAATTCCAGGTAAAGTTTTCAAATCCATTTCTGAATTACGGTGGGGGCTCCTGAGAGCCCAGTGACTATGCCAGTTGGAGTCATTAATTCACAGGGAATAATATATATTTATACTAAAATATACACATATATTTTGCATATTATATTTTGGGAGTGCTTTAGAATTTTATTTCTTAAATATAGGGACAAAGACACTGGATACCTCCAACTTCCTTCCTGGTGGGGGAAATGGTTTAGGTAGGTTACAGAAGACAAAGCAAACAGCAAACCACAGTGCACGTACTAATCTCTCCTTTGTAAAAGGATACACTTTTCCAGGTGATATTCAGAGTCAGTGGAGAAATAAAAACAAAAACTGAACACATTTCCACGACCCCCCATGCCTAGCCGTGTCCTATGTCCTTGGTGGCAACCACAGGTTTGCTCACATGTTTAGACAAAGAGTGTGAACCTGTGTGTGTGTGCACGCCACAAGGTGAGGCAGCAGAGCACCACTGAGCACCAGGAGCTGAGTTCCAGCCCTGTCTCTACCACTGACATACTTGGGACCTCAAGAGGCCTCTTAACCTTCCTGATTCTCAAATATGTGCATAAGACAAATAGTTGGGCCTGTGGATTTGAAAAACAAACCAAAAAAAAAACCCACCACTCTGCCTACTTAAAGACCCTGTAATTGCCTATTTTGCTCCATTAGCCACCAAAGTTTGTCTTAATGTTTTAATGTTTTCTTTGTCACCATTGCATCCACAATTGACTAGGTGCTTTTTCCAGAAAGGACAGTGGCGAGACTGGGCTCAGGGGTCTGTGCTGAGCATCTGGGCTGAGCAGGGTTGTAGGCAGCAGCCTTGTGGGCCAAACAACAAATGGACCACAGAGAGAGGTGACTTTAGAAGCCAACAAACACTGGGCTTTTGATGTGTTGCACAAGCTTGAGAGTTTTTGTGCAGCACCATGCAAGTCACACAGTTGTTAACGACAGCGGGAACTGATTGTAATAATAGCTGCATAACACTTTGGTATTATTACAAAGCATACAGACTCTTGGTCACCCAGTGCATATCAAGTGGGCAATCTTGGTCTCCATAAATGGTACCCCTTGCCCACTCTGAGACCCATTAAAAACTGCCACACCCTCTTACAGCACCCAGCATCAGGGGGAGGACAAGGAGAGTGACAGGTGGGAAATAGGATCTCCTACAGAAATTGCTTTGCGTGAACGGGAACAATTATTGGGTAGGTGACCCACAGTTTCGGTATCAGAGAAACCAGATAGAAGAAAGAGTGGGGTCACTGGGAAGAGAACTAGGGAGGCCCAGGGTAACTCCCGGAAAAATAGAAGAGACTGAGACTGGCTTGCCGGGCGTCAGGCAGGATGGTCTGTCTGCACTTTCAGCCATAGGGCCTCAGAAATGGCCCACTCTCTCTGAGAATGTCAGTCCTTTGCTTAAAACCTCAAGGCCAACAGATAGAAGATCAATTTCTTGGTGAATTAAACTCTGATTAATATATTTCATGTGTTTTGGGGCTGGGGATTTAGCTCAGCGGCATAAGCACCTGCCATGCAAGCAGGCGGTCATGAGTTCGATCCCTGGTACTGATTTTAAAAAAAAAAAAAAATATATATATATATATAATTCATGTGTTTTGAGGAAACTGAAATTTCTGGACCCTGAAAAAAGTGCTATATTTTCAAAAGAATACAGTCATGGTTTTTACGGCATCATTCAATGACTTTTGAAGCAAAAAGTCTATGACATATATATTTGCTTAAATGTATTTTATTAACAATTTTCATGCAGTATATGCAGTGAAAGAAAATATACTTTCTTTTGCCATTTTCAAGTACTAATTTCATTGTGAAATAAAACATATATAAAAAAATAAAATATTCCATGTGTGGGATATCTGAATGTGTACAAGCATTCTGCACACACACTCTCCATGTACTGTACACAGCAGGCACATACATCGGAGATATCTCAAGTGTACGCATAGAGTAAAATGCAGATTAATTAGGAGGAACATCCCATGAAGAGTATATCTAGAGTCAAGTTTCCAAGGATGTCAAGGACATTCTGGAAGAAAACAAGAGCTCTGAGTTTTGAAGGCACCAGCTTTGTTCATAATCCCTGTGACACTCTTGTCTCCACACACATTGTCAGTATCAGGCATTGGTTACATGTTCTACATCTCATCTGATTTTTCCAGCAAGCCAGGGTTGGGTACTATTCTCCATTTTTTCAGAGGCGGAAGCCAAAGCTCTATGCATATATACCAGGAGACAGTGGAAGTGTAAACTGACACTCAGGTCTGCTGGGCTTTACCCAGTGCATCATGCTGAGGCTGGAGGCCAGGCTGGGCTTGGGGTGGGGGTCTGTGAGAGCTGTGATGGACAGAGTCAAGAGCACCACAACTTGATGTCTAGCTGTGAGCAGGGATTGAGTGTTTACCCAACAGATGATGGAGACCCATTGTAGGCATCTGGAAGACGTGGTTGGAGGCCTGTTAGGGAAGCTATGTGTAAGATTAAGCAGCAGGAAGAGAACCACAGTTTGAGCCTGTTAAGTTAATGGCAGTGGACATGGAAAGGAAGTTCACTGAGATCTCTGGGTGAAAATTAAATAGAACTGCAAGCCGTGTCCATGTAGGGAGTAGAAGAGAGAACAAATAGAAGGCTTTAAACCTCACGGCTAGTGCTGGACACCAGGGTAGGGAAATTATGGCGGAGTTGAGACTCACGGAAATGCAAGAAGCTGAGTTCATTTGGGAGGAAGATGAAGAATAAGATGTCTGATCAAAATATATGGTGAATATTTATATAATTTTAAAAACTTTATTACAGGGCCCAGGGATGTAGCCCAAGTGGCACAGTGCCTGCCTGGCAAGTGCAAGGTCATGAGTTCGATCCCTGCTACCAAACCAAAACCAAAGTGAAGAAACATGTTATTACAGTAAAAGACTTATGGCTACTAATCCACCTCAAAATATGCCCCCTTGCTTTGAATATACTTGTCTCATCATTCTTGCCACTTTCTTGAGTGTCTTTACAAGATATGCTTGAAATATGATGAAAGCCACCACCACATGCCATCTGACAAAAAGGCAGGGTTGTAAAAACATTAAAGTGTGTCCTCATCCACCATATTCACTGTGCAACTTCTGTCTCTTCCCCAAAGTCAAAATCACCATGAAAGGTAAACATCTTGAATTTATTCAAGAAAGTGAGGCAGCCTTTATATTGCAACCCTAAAGACACTCATGAAAGAGCACTTCCAGAACGGCTTCCGAAAGCTGTAAGAATGGTAGAATCAATGTGCTTGAAGCAGGAGGGAGTACTTGGAGGGAAATTGGTGACAATGTATCTTGTACTATAATATATAAAATTTTTAAACAAAATATTCACCAAACGGTTTGATCACGCCTGGTACTTAATGACCTAGGGCCGGATTTCTCTCCTCTCTTTCAGCCATGTTCCGGTCTTTGGGAAATACAGCAAAACTTTGGATTGTAACTTACTCTGTGAGTGTTCTGTAAGAAGAACAAACATTTCTAATAAACCTTCACTTAATAGATAAGTAAGCTCTTTCAGGACAAGTAGCGTGTGATGCTGAATATCACATGAGCAAAACTGAGCCACTGTTCACCCCTACTCTTGCTTCAGGATTGTGGGTGAAAATCTCCCAACAGCAAGAGGTTAAGGAAGAGATCTCACCTGCAGGGGAGGAAGGAACAGATGCAGGAATCCACCACTTCGAATGAGATTAGTGTAACATTGTGGGAAACTGCCAAATTCTGTAGAAAGTGCCACCTGAATAAGACTTTAGCAGTGCAAATAATGAAGCTGATGAGGTGACAGTGCGATACCGTGTGTGCTCAAAATGCTCAAAAGAAGGTACAAGCAAGGGTCGTTGGAGGGGGTCCTTGTTAAAGTTGCACAAAAAGGAAAAGATTCCACTGAGCAGATAGATAACACTGATTCTGTTAGGAATAGTGAAAGTCCTGTGACACAATAACCCTCCATTTTTGTCTGCCTCACACCAGCCACCAAGGTTTCCCAAGTGCAGGTTAATTTGTTTTTTTTTTTTCTTTATATTTTGTATCTTCTACATTATTTTGTATTATTTCACAACATTGGAATTGCTTTTATGTGAATATGTTGAATTATGGGACACCTGAGTTTCCATTTTTGTCTTATGAGGAAATTCAACCTGAGCTATAAGTGCTTTGGATTACAAGTAGTTTCCAGAACGAATCATGCTTGCAAACCAAGGTTTTATTGGACAGAAAATGAAAGGCTATTCCCAGCCTCTTTCCTGACCATTTTTGTTTTTGATAGCACTATATGCAAGAAGCAAGTGGATGTATTATATACGTACATACGCATACATGTGACTTATCTCCCAAGTCAAGCAGCTCTCAGTGCAAGAATATGCATACATATATAATTATCCACTCATAGAGATTTCACGTATGCATTTTTATACTAAAAGCATGAGAAGTATTTTCTGATATTTTTTGCAGTGGAAGTATATCGCTCTTTATGGAAGGTAAAAGCATAAATTTATCTCTTGGGAAATCCAACAGTTTTTAATGATCATTTAGTCACATTTGTTCTTCTGTATGTGTCTCACTCACCTCGCTTGAAAATTTCATAACGAATGGAAAATCCTGCACCATGTGTTTCATAGTCCGAGACAAATTTGATGAAAAGAAATTGTCCTGAAGACACTACAGGGGAGGGAGCAATCTTCCCACAAAACTTTCCCCATAAACGTCCATTTTCATTTTCTCCATCAATGATTTCCACGTAGTCATACCTAGCATGCAAACAGGAGGGAGACATTAGGTTGATGAGAAATGCCCTTTTCATTGCAATTTTAAAAACTAACATTATCCAACAGTCTGCCAAAGGTGGGGGGGGGTGCTGTCTGCATTCACTACTGAATTACATGGAGGGAAAAATATCTAGCAAAATGAAATAATTAAAATGGACTACATCATGTCTGTATATATCATCTGGCAACACAGAACTGTTAAGGATAATGGTGTCCATTATACTCACAGACAATGTCAGTTAAAGTAACCAATTAGCAAGAAAAAGAAAAATCTCATGAGCACAATTCTCTATTATTAAATTGTGTTCCTTTGTCTATGGTGGTGGGGTGTCAATACATAATGCTATGCATTCTTTTCAAACTGTGAAGTTCTTTTATGAATTCAAAATGTCTCCTTAACTGGAGCTTTCCATGAAGAATACTTTGATTTCTGTGAGCAACCCTTTAAACATATGGCCACAGAATAATAAACAGATTCTTCACTATTTAACTCAATTCCACAAACTCCAGACTTCCTAGGGGGGGAAAAAAAAAAACCTCTCTCAGTAGCCACTTTCAACAGTGAAAAACACTCATTTTCTTCCGCAAACCACGATTGGGTCATAAAACATAATTTATCCACAGGAAAATAAAGTTTATTTAAAAGTGGAAAGTACGTTTGTTTATACCTACCAGTCTGCATTTTCAAAGGAATATTGTTGGAAAAAGAAATATGAACACATGAAATCATTGAATTTATGAGATTAAGAAAATTCAGATTTAATAATGTTTCACTACAAAGATGTATAATAAAGTGACAATAAAATATTATTCTACAGATTATACTGAGATAACAGGTATACTTGGATTAAAAGATAGAAAACCATCACCAAACACTGCTATGCCTATGGAAAATGAGAAGATCTTTGTTTATCTGGGGTTATACATTTCTTTAACTTACTTTTTTTTTTCTATTTACAAATCACTGGAGAATCTAATTTGTCTTTATTTTTCTCCTGGGACCAACAGGAAAACATTAATAGCCCATCCATTTCAAATCTTTATTTCTGGTTTTAACTCAGTTCAAAAATCCTTGGACATATTAACTTGAGCACGACTCAAATATGACAGTCACGTAAATTATATCTGGCAATTAAAAAAAATCAAAGTGAGGCGAAATCTCATGCTGACCAGTGTCATCTTTAACGACTCCCTTTCAGCTGCACGGGACACACTATGTTTGCACAAAGTCTCAGGAGACAACCACAAAGATGATATTACGAGTTGGAGTGGACAGCTTAAGACTTCCTAAATTAAAAAGGACATTACCTCATCAGTTAAAATTGCTTGCCAGCTTTGTGTATATCAGGAATAAAATAAAGCTGACATTGATGGAGCAACGCATTAACATATATGCATTTCTCCCCTTGCATCTGATATTTCTAGTAGTAATCATGTGGCTTGCTAACCTTGTGTCCCTCCACAAAACTGTGGAAATACAGAGGAATTGTTCCTTTCTCAATCCTTGGAGAGATTTTTGCATTTAAAAGAAGACAAAGGCAGAGAGGGAGGAAGAGGAGGAGGTGGAGGAGGAAGAAAGCATTAATGCTCACAATCCTAACCAGCTTTTATAGTCAACTTGGGGCAGCTGGAAGGAGCCCCGTCTCTGCATTCATTAAAGCCTCCCAAGTTGGCATTTATGGAGTAATTCCTTTTATCGCTGCTGCTTCGTTGACAAGACGGGTCTGCATGTTTTGCCCCACGCTTTCTCATAATCTAACTGGGATCTGAACTGCTGACTGGCCTTGGTCTGGCAACTGTGCATCCAGCATTGGAATATAGGCTTTTTACTTGAATCTCCACATGGTCTGAATACTAAGTGGCCAAATCCTGGTGCATGTTGCTTGGCAGGCACAAATCGGAGAGGTAGATCAGGCATTTTGAAGAACTAAGGCCACTTCTGGGAGGAACTTTCTCACAGGTAGAAGGGAGCTCAGCTAATATAGTGCCAGCAAATTACAACTCAGAAAATGCTGGTATTTTAATTCACATATCCTCTGATAGTAAATACTAGGCTTTCTTCTTGGCAACAGCAAGATATTTTTTTAAATGGGGGAGGGGAACTAGAATTCCTTCCCAAGTGGAGATAAGTCATTGCATAGTTAAGTGCCAATTTTAGGAAATCGAATTATTCAGGGGTACTCTATATTTATAAACTGGAAGGCTGCTGCCATGCTAGCCCTTCCCTTCAAGGTACTGTCCAGCGAGACCCCAGGGAGAACCATAAATAGTAGTTCCTGGAAATACTCAGGAGGGTGCGTGATGCACAAGTTGCGAAGGGGAGAATTGCCAGGGAAGTTAGGGAAGCAGCTTGTGTCTCCCTCTGGAGTTGATACCAGTTCCACTCCATAAGTTTCTCACTGGCAAACCCTGTGCCAGGAATGCAGCTGGTGTGCCAGCATCCCTCTCTAGAGACTCAGTGTGTCACCACAGCAACGCACCCAGCCTGAATTGGCCTGAGGCCCAGGATACTGAGTTTGCAAATTTCGATCCCCCAGCCGGCTGCACATTGCTCTGTTGCTGCTGCCGCTGTGGCAAACACCACGATACATGGCCTGATGTGTCAGCCTCTCTAGTGGTGAGGACAGAGGTCTGCAAAGGTGGAAGGGAAGGCGCCAGCTGAGCTCTCGCTGGGAACCACTGTGCTCCAGCTGCTGGAAGAGAATTGGGAATGGCACCTGAGGAATCAAGTTCATGGGGGAGAGCTGAGAAGGTAGATTCCTCCTTCCATGTGTGTCTCAGCTCTGCTAACAGAATGTCCCAGGTGACAAAGGAGCTTGTTAGGGTCCAAAGACCACTGTCCTTCTATGCCAGGTTCCTGAGGATGGGCCTCTGTGGGTCCCTGCTCTGTGCCCGTTCAACATGGGGATGGAGCCATAATGTGGCCTTTGAAATATTCTTTGATCTTCTAGACATCCTTTCATTCCTTAAGTCTTCTGCCTTAAACTTTCCCACTGCACAGAAACAGCAGTAAACAGGTAGGAGGACATTTCCTGGGAAGTAATGCAAAGACCTCTACCTAACCGTTTTGCAATTGAAAGGTATTTTGCCACGGGTTTCACTGTTAGGGTGTAAGACCCCGAGTGGCTCTTCCCACGAGTGCCCTGCCCTAAAATCTAAGCTCTTTGAGCTACTGGCATCTTGTTTTATTACCTCCCCACCTGGCCCTCCCTAGGCTTATGTGGGTGGTAGAACATTTTGAATGCCAGTAGTAATCAAAGGTTATGTTTCTCAGAAGAATGATAAAAGAATAAAGATTTCCTTCTAAAAATTCCAAAAAGGATTACCCAAAGATTATTTTATACCTTTGGAAAATTTGAATTATGGTTTCAGGAAAATGGCCAAGCAGGGGTAAAAGTGATGGGAAACAGATAAATACATTTAGTCACTCAAGGCCTGTCTCAGACCCTTTATAGGTGTGCGTGCTGAATCCGCAGACAGCATATTTTATTTACGCCAGATTTTCTCTCAGAAGTGCAAATGACTCTTTGGTGGAGCCTATTAATAGCAAGAAAGTGAATCCTCACCATGGTGTCACTTATACAATGAGCTACTGTACCAAGCCCCCAACCCTGGCTTCTGGACATTCTCACATTATTAGGAACAGGGTTTTAGGTGGTGTCTTTTTAATCTCCTTCCAGGAGATCTACCCCTTGGGCATAGGCGTACTCATAATGGAGAAATCTGATACCTGACATCCTATACCAGAGTGAGAAATGATGTTGGTGAACATAATTTTCACCTGCACAAATGTGTTTCTATGAATGTTTGGTTTATTTTGCACACGGCATTTAACAGCTGTTCCAATTGAACAGCAAACAAATGGTGCTCCTAAGACGTATCTCAGACCTCTCTCAGAAGAAAGCAGGTTTTCTCCCACGCATTAGAAAGAGGACTTGGAAACAAAAATACAGAATGGTGACACCAGGAGAAGCCAATCTGTGAGCCCAGTGATTTCATGTGAGACGTATCCCTCACCAGCCCAACTAGCTTGCAACGTTCTAATCGTTCTGATCAAGATATGTGAAAACCCTTACCATGGTCATAGCCTCTTATTAACAAAAGAATTTCTTAAAATCTACTTTAAGAGAATAATGTGGAATAATATCAACTATTTAAATACATTCACATTATGGAATACTATGCAGCTATTAAAAGAATGTTCAACAAAAGGGTTTTTTATAATTGTAGTTGAAAAGTAATTTATATTCCTATAGACAGTATAGTCTCAATTCTTATTCATATACAGACAAAACACTAGAGGGAAATATATAAAACTGTTATAAGTAGTGATTTCCATCACTTATAGTTATAAGATTATGCTTTTTATTCATTTTTATATTAGTAAAATAGTTTACAATGATTCTGTATGCCTTATAATATGATAAAAATTATTTTGAAGAGCATTATCTGAGTATAAAACAGCAAATCTATATCTGCTTGCTAGCTAACAGTGTTATATCCTAGGTTAGAAGCTGCTGTCTTTATGAAGTTTTATTTGTTTGCTACCTTTTTTAAAAACCAACATATCTGTGAGACTCTATATGATTTTTTTTTTGGTACCAGAAGGTTAAATTGAATCAAATTATATCTAATGCTTTCTGAAATGCTGGAATAATCTCAACACTAAGAGTAATTTCCAAATTTTAAACTCCTGGGCTATTGACAGGATCTTGCTTTATTATGTTTACATATTTCTTAGTAAAGCTTGTTTCCACATTTATAAAGTGATTTTTCTTCCTTCCAAATCAAACGTTTGTAGAAAAATGGATACATCTTGAGATTATAATGGTAAGTGAGATAAATCAGATACATAAACTTAAATATCATGTGGTTTCCTTTATATGAGAAACTTAAAGTATACATAAAAGTATACATAAAAAGCAAAATAAAACAGGAATGATGGGAAGCAGGGAGGTAAGATCTTTCTCAGGAAGAAGATA